AATTCCAAAAAGTTATATTATAATATACAGTGTGTCTGCTTACGATCGCACCATATAGAAAACATTTTTATTAATTATTTTCAGGGACCAGGATCGGACCGTTTTTGGACAGAAAACCGAACCGGTTATTTTTTTTGTAATAATAATAAGGTTAATTTACCATAACCCACAAACTTAACAGTTTAATGACAGAATAAGGTTTATTTTTTACAAAAGAGGAGTCAAATTGTTAAGAAATACTTTTTTTCGTAAAATTAATATTAAAATTTCATACGGTGCGAACTTAAGCAGACACACTGTATATATTTACTACAGTATTGGCCAAACGAAGATATATCTACAGTCTTTTAAGTATACATAATGTACATTATACTATTATAATAATACTAATAATATGAGGAACTACACTGCAAAACGCAGTTTTTGATAAAATTATTCTTTTCATGATGGAGAAATCTTTGTTACTCACTTAATCAAAAATTATCTTTCTTACTACCTCGACTGAAAATACGTTGTTTCGTCCCCGATTCCACGGCAGAAAGTTTACGTTTCTTGCATTGGTCAAGCTATACGCGCACACTCTATAATAGCGGGAGTAAAAATTTTTTAGTCCTGTGTTCAACATATGCAACTCTGATTACGACACTAATATAACCTCAAAATTTGGGCAGGCATCAATATGTTTCGATAATATTATACACATTTAATTTTCATCATGGCGCGCAGTGCAGGAATCTCACACTTTCTGCCCTTGTAGTGTAATATACTATTTTGTAAAATATGTAAAAATTAAAAAAATCGAAAAATATCACAATTTGATCCAAGTCTAGGGCAAGTGATACCTCATTAAAATATCAAAAAAAATAGTCAAATTCAATTATTTTATTTTCGAGATATTTAAAATTGAAGTTGCAATAGCACACTTTGTTTTTATTAAAATAAAAAAGTATATGAACAATTTGAGAAAAAAAGAGAAGTGGAGTTATTAACTAAAGTTTTTGCTAAATACAAAAACCTGGATAGGGGCCGTTCATAAATTACGTCACGCAAATTTTGACCTATTTTTGAGCCCCCCTCCCTCCTTGTCACATGTTGTCACGTTTAATGACACCCCCCTAAATAAATTACGTCACAAAATGCAACCCCCCCATTTAGAACAGTATGTATTCAGAAAAATAAAATTTAATAAATTCTTTAAACATAACAAAAATAAATTCTTTTTAAAATTAATTAATTCATTCATCAATTTTAAGTCCACCATTATTTTTATTACAAAGGGGCAGTGTTGGCGGCAATAAAAACCATAGATAAAAACTGAGATTAATGATTACAACCACGGTCTTATAAGACCGATTAAGACCGTTATTACAACAAACACAAAACATTACACATAGAAAAAAAAGTTCAGCTGATTTTGACATTTTAACAGGGAATAGAGATTGGTTAACGTTACAACAGGGCTGGATGCTCCCGTGTACGAGTTTTGGTTCGTGCCGCGCATGACGTCACTTGATGAGTAGTAGTAATATTATCACCCATAATATAACAAGTGGTATGATTATCATCGATTATGCAGATTCGGTTTCAATGAGTAAATGTCATCGATTATAATAATTATTAATCATACCACGAGTTATATTTAGTGAGAAAATATAATGAATTTTAGGATTTAACGCATTGTTAGTTTGACATTGCTTTGAAATATAAACACTTTATTAACCTAATTTATTCAAACTTGCCTTAATTTCATTATCGTTTACACCAACCCATCGATCTTTTAGAGTTTATAATTCATTATATTAATCAAATAACAAACACAGGATTTAAATTTCAACAAATGTCAAATCCAGAAAAGTGTAAAAAATCCTTGTAACGTGTAAACAACACTGAGCAGAAAACTCTCTATTTTAATGTTTTAATTTTTATAAATAAATAAATAAAATAAATTGCCGGAAAGTTTTTAAATTATAAAAAAATGGGAATTTTCATTAAAACCGAACCAACGTTGATGTAACCCCCCTTCCCTCTATGTCACAACTTGTCACGTTTTCATGGACCCCCTCCCCCCTAACAGCGTGACGTAATTTATGAACGGCCCCATACTTGTTTCCATGTTTGCATTAATCAACATGCAGAACTCGTACAATTTTCAAGTTATAAGAGAAATTTAAAAAAATCGATTTTAATCTACCCAATTCAGCACTTAACTTATTTTCATGCTAAAATGCACTTGTACCCTTCTTACCCCTTCAAAAAAGTCTTCATCAGTCAAACTAAGGTAAGCGAATAGAAAATTTGTTTTTATTTTTCTTATATTTTTAATTTATTGGTATTTATTACAATAAAAATTTAACATATTACGAAATTTTATACACTGCGCGTCAAAATTAACGCATATTAAGTAAAAAAACTCTAAAACACCTTTACCAATCTTTATGAAATTTTGTATAAGAATACTTCAACTTATATCTCAGTTTAGGTGTTCGAGGGTTTTTCGAGAAAATATTTTTAAAGCCATTTTATTTAATAATAAAAAAACGTTCGAAAAATAACTTTTAGTGAATTTTTTGAGTAAAAAAAATGCTGTCAAAGGCCGTATTTTAGTATTAGTATACCCTGAAAATTTTGTACAAATCAAACGAACAGTAACGAAGATACAAAGCTTCAAAGTCGGTAAAAGTGACCTTTTTGATTATTTTGCTGAAAAGTGGTCATTTTTGACGACTGTAGAGCTGTATTTTCGTAACTGTTCGTTTGATTTGTACAACATTTTCAGGGTATAATTACAAAAATACGGTATTTCACAGCATATTTTTTATTTACTTAAAAAAAATTCCCTATAAAAGTTTTTTTTCGAGCGTTTTTTATTTTTAAATAAAAGGGCTTTAAGGATATTTTTTCGAAAAACCCTTAAACACGTAAACTGAGATATAAGTTAAAGTATTTTTATCCAAAATTTTATAAAGATTGGTAAAGGCGTTTAAGAGTTAAAGTTGTTTTACTTATTAGGCGTTAATTTTGACGTAAGGAACAAATATGAAAAATACCAAAAATCTCCAAACTTTTAAGATTAGTGGAACAATGGTTTAATAAAACTTTTTTGAAAGTTTTTATGTAGAAAGATAAGATAAAATTTAAACCCATTCGCCACCTCGCTTCATAATAATAATACTTAACCCTCAGTTCTGTAAGGCAGTGGCGGCTCGTAGGTTCTGGAAGAGGGTGGGCACAAAAAACTTACCTACTAATTTTTGTACAAAAAGTCCATTCTCCTATTTTTCATGCGAGAAACTGAATTTTCGTCTCTGCAATGTGTTTTAAATCATCTACCATGTTTATTCTACGCACGTAACTTTTTTTTTTGAAAATTAAGCACATAAAAAAAAGCTTATTGGTTATTGAACATCCGCATATCCACTCGTATTTTTCATAGATATTTCTGTTGAATACTCTATTGTAAGTTCGGCCTTTACCTGCGGAAGTGTAGTGTATTCGAAGATCGGGAATATGTCTTCCTTTTTTCTTAATTAAAAGTTTATCTTCAAGTGACATCGGGCTTTTTAAAAGATTTTGCACACAACTTACTTCCGCTGGTGCCATTATTGTTAATAAAAAATAAAGTTTATTTAAAAAACAAAACACGTAATTCGCTTAAAACTTAAAAAACACAACGGTGCGCGGTGACAAAAAATTAGAAATCAACAAACTGACACAGATACCATCTGAGCTGTTGAAGAGACACTGCGTTCGGTGCCCCAAATTGACGATATATTCGCGTACTGAGAGGATAACCGAAGTTCACCGAATCATACTCGGAGTAGGTACCTAAGAAGGTTTAAATTCAATCGTTTGAGCGGACGGAAGGAAGGTTTGAGACCATCATTAAATAGTAATTACAATGGTGTTGTTACGTATAACTAAAATAATGCACAATGCAACAAATAACTTTTATTACTTTTTATCTGGGCGGTTGGGTGGGCAATTCTCCTTGTGAACCAGTCGCCACTGCCAATCCCTACAACGACCATCCAACGTGGACCCAAAAAAAAGGAGAAAATGTAAATAAATAATACCAAAAAAAGTGTTTTATAATTTATATTAACAATTAAAATATTACAAACAAATTAAATTAAACTTTTACCATTAACCTATTTATCAATCAACGTTAATATATTACTATATAGTACTAGTACAGCTCGACACAGTTAGCTGTGTCTACGGGGTGATCGTTATCCTTGTCTGTCCCGTCAAGCACAATTTGTCTTATTGAAGGACAATAATTGTCTGTTTAATTGGGCGTAAATCAATCTTTCTGCAGACGCAGATAGCTGTGTCAAGGTTTACCTCAAGGAATTGTTTTTGGTATTAGATTGGCCACATACACTATTGGACAAAAGTAAAGCAACAACTGTATAAAAAATCTAACCCCAAAACGCCTTTATTAATCTTTAAGAAATTTTGGATAAAAATACTTGAACTTAAATCTCAGTTTACGTGTTTGAGGGTTTTTTAAAAAATATTTTTAAAGCCCATTTTTTTAATATTAAAAAAGCCTTCGAAAAATAATTTTTACGGAAATTTTTTTTCAAGTAAATAAAAAATATAGGTACTGTTAAATACCGTATTTTTGTTACCCTACCCTAAAAATTTTGTACAAATCAAATGAACAGTAACGAAGATACAGCGATTCAAAGTCGTCAAAAATGACCACTTTTCAGCAAAATAATCAAAAAAGGGTCATTTTTACCGACTTTGAAGCGCTGTATCTTCGTTACTGTTCATTTGATTTGTACAAAATTTTTAGAGTATACTAACAAAAATACGGTCATTAACAGAATATTTTTTATTTACTTGAAAAAAAATTTCCGTAAAAGTTATTTTTCGAACGTTTTTTTAATATTAAAAAAATGGGCTTTAAAAATATTTTCTCAAAAAACCCTTAAACACGTAAACTGAGATTTAAGTTCAAGTATTTTTATGCAAAATTTCTTAAAGAATAATAAAGGCGTTTTGGAGTTGGATTTTTTATACAGTTGTTGCTTTACTTTTGTCCAATAGTGTATATAACATTTTTTTGTAGGGCGTTTTAAGCCATTTTTGTGAATTGGAAAATAAAAAATATTTGTGCAATTTTGCACGGTGTGTCTGAACGAAGTTAAAAATGCCGCCAAAAACTGATTGCAGTTTCTTGTTCGGGACCCTTTGGTGACTTAAAAATGATATTTACCAAAATCCTAGCTGTTCCTATTTTCGAAATTTTTTGAAAATTCTTTTTTTTTTAATTTTTGTTTTTCTTACCTTTGACAGAGTACACATTTGTACACAGATTTTTATAATATTGGAGTATATTGTTAACAAGACTACTATTTTCATACTGAGCACATCATTAGATTTATACAGGGTTAGCCAAAAATCACTTTTTTATATAGTAAAAAGCATAATGCACAAAAAAGATTTATCTCCAAAAAATGTTATTTTATTTAATTTTATTCAAAAACAATTTTTCTTATAAAGTCTTAATAAGAATCCCATTTTGTGGCCTGGTAAACATAAAAATATCTAAAAAAACATGGGTGGGTATATATCTTTTTTGCGTGTTATGCCAAAATCAAGAATTTACGTGCTCAGTATAAAAAAGTATTCTCCAAATCTCCTTAACAATATACTCCAATATTATAAAAATCGGTGTACAAATGTGTACTCAAAGGTAGAATAAGTAAGATAAACAAAAATTTAAAAAAAAAATCATGAATTTTCAGTTTTTGGCGGCATTTTTATGTGACTTAAACTTCGTTCAGGCACACCGTGTTCATTACATACATTTTTACTTATAGGACCCTGGTTTTTCTATTTTAACTATAATTTATTATTAACCTTTAATTAAAACTATATTATTTACATATATGGGATATGTAACTTACGTAATTTACTGCCAGTAAATTTAGTGTCAGTAGCGAAAAAGGACTGTTTTATAATTTATTCTGTACTGACGCAACAGTGAAATTGAAACAATCTATGCGTAACTTTTAGCATCAGCAGCAAGTTTGCCAGATGTACAATAATTATAATGACTAGTAGGGTTATTTTAAAATTATTACAAATAAAAAAATTAAATTGTTATTAAATGTTTTAATAGGTAGTTATTTATGTCATTAGGTCAAGAAGTACCTAAGTCTTTTTGTGCTGAGCTTTTTTTTTGTGTACATAAACCGTACAATTATTAAAAGAAATAAGTAGAAAATAATAGTTTTTTACAGGCTGTAAATAACCTAAACTAATTGGTATAACTAATTTTTAAGTGACTAGGCCATAATCAATCACTTAAGTAACAAGTGTTAACAATAATAATGTAATAATAAATAATAAAATAATAAATTAAAGACCGATTGAAGATACATATTTTTATCTTTATTATTTTAATATAAAGTAGTACAGTGGTTTATTAAAAGTATTTTTTGTTGTATTAGGTAAAATTGATAAAATTTGTTTTATTTTATACTTTTGTTAAATGCATATTAAAAAACTCAAATTTCATTTTTCACTTACCCTTTTTTCATACAGTACGATAATATATGTTTAAAAACGATAATTTTGGTACGATAATTTGATAATCAACATCTGGCAATACAGCAGCAGGAAAAATATGGAAAAAATATACCTTTTTCGACGCAGACAACAAAATATTTCGATTAATATTTCATCAATATTTAATGAAATAATTATTCTCAGCTCTTTACCAAATGAGAAGTAATTTTTCAAAAGGTCGTATTTCCATTTTTACTTGAATGTCATTTTTTGACAAAATCACAAAGGTATGGTTAAAAGGCATATATTAAATGGTGAATATGTTCCACAAGTTGTTGAATGTCAAGTAGAAGTAATGTGTTTATGTAATGAGCCAGACATGGATATCTTTACTTTATTTACTCTTACATATTGTTAGCACAATAAAGATATTTTTCCAAGTTTACACACAGCAAAAAGGCACATTTCCAAAATGATTTCATACATGGGTCTTATTTCCAAATAATTTAAAAAAATACCATTGCTATAAATATTTAAATTTAAACCACCAATATGACAGCAGGTCTGAAGTAGAATTATACATCAGATTTTTTTTAATAATATATATCGCCCTAACCTATACAAGTTATTTCGTTTTTTGAAAAATTGTTGCAAATGAAAATACGACCTTTTGAAAAACACTCCTCCGTTTTTAGTACTGACAATACCGGCAGTAAATTACGGAACATAACCATGGTAAAATTATTATTCTAGAAAAACTAGACACTGCTAAATTTCGAGGCTTATCAAGGTACTGTAGCGCACACTTCACGTGCGACTTACTTTGAGGTGATATTCCATGGCCGCCACGTTTCCTGGATCTGTCCCTATGTAACTTTGATCTGTGGGGCTATCTCAAAGGAAAAGTTTACCTCAAAATTTGACATCTTAGGAAACTATTCGGCGAGAATTTTAAGCGATCCCTCCACAAACCTTTTCAATTTGACTAGCAGTAAATGGACAAAGCGCCAACAAAAAAAACATTTTATAGATTATTTTTTTTTGGTCCAGTAAACAAAGATTGTAGAAGGAAAACTCGATGGTAGTCGGGTTTTATTTTTTTTATGTAGAGTCAGGGGTGCTGATAATGAATCAAGAATATTCCCCAAAGATTTCTTTCCGCGTCCCCTAATTTCATCCCCCGAAAGGGGAGTTTTTTGCTTTTTGGCTCATAACTCGCTAACCGTGCATTTTTTCAGAATTTGACCTCCAATACTTTTGATTATGTACTAAATAAGGCACACGTTAAACCCCATTGCGCACCTATATGATGTGCCCATTTGCTATGCGCAGTGTGCAAAGTTGAGCGTTGCTTTTAAAATCACTTTGACTCTACATAAAAAAAATAAAACCCGACTACCATCGAGTTTTCCTTCTACAACCTTTGTTTCCTGGACTATTTGTTTCAGGTTAGGTATGTTGTATTTTAATATGCCTTTTCATATTTTGTTTACTAGAAAATGTTTTGTTGCACTGCGGGCATTTAAATTCTTTTTTATGTTCATGTTTGACTTGAACGTGATTTTTTAAGGCCACCTTTCCTGTGTATGATTTCAAGCAATGTGGGCAACTGTATCTAAAACCCTGGTGTTTTATTTCTATATGGCTGTCGATGCTTCTTTTATTAAACACTATTAGGTCGCAATGCGGACATTTGTATTTTTTTATTTGTATAGGATCGCCATGTTTAAATTGAACGTGGTGTTTTAGGTTAGCATTTGATGTATATGTTTTTGAGCAATGCGAACAACTGTATTTTAAACCGCCGTGTTTTATTTTCATGTGGTTGTTGATACTTGCTTTATTAAATACTACGAGGTCGCAATGCGGACATTTGTAATTTTTTCTTTGTAAGGGATCGCCATGATGAAATTGAACGTGGTGTTTTAGGTTAGCATTTGATGTATATGTTTTTGAGCAATGTGGACATTGGAATTGAACGTGTTGTGTTTTGCTAGCCTTTGATGTGTGCGTTTTTGAGCACTTTGGAGATTTGTATTTTTTTCTCTGTAAAGTATCGCCATGTTGGGATTTAACGTGGCGTTTTAGGTAAGCCTTTGTTGTAAATGTTTCTAAGCAATGTGAACCTTCGTGTTTTACTTGTATGTGCTTATTAAAACTTCTTATATATGAAAACATTACGTTGCAATCTGGACATTTGTATTTTTTTCTTTGTAAGGGATCGCCATGATGGAATTGAACGTGGTGTTTTAGGTTAGCATTTGATGTATATGTTTTTGAGCAATGTAGACATTGGAATTGAACGTGTTGTGTTTTGCTAGCCTTTGATGTGTGCGTTTTTGAGCACTTTGGAGATTTGTATTTTTTTCTCTGTAAAGTATCGCCATGTTGGGATTTAACGTGGCGTTTTAGGTAAGCCTTTGTTGTAAATTTTTGTAAGCAATGTGAACCTTCGTGTTTTACTTGTATGTGCTTATTTAAACTTCTTATATATGAAAACATTACGTCGCATTCTGGACATTTGTATTTTTTTCTTTGTAAGGCATCGCCATGTTTAAGTTGAACGTGCTCGTTTAGGTTATCCTTGGATGTGTATGTTTTTGAACAATGTGAACAACTATATTTAATGCCTTCGTGTATTACTTCTATGTGCCTATATAAACTTCTTATATATGAAAACATTCTGTCGCAATCTGGACATTTGTATTTTTTTCTTTGTAAGGCATCGCCATGTTTAAGTTGAACGTGCTCGTCCAGGTTAGTCTTTGATTTGTATGTTTTTTCGCAATTTGGACACCCAAATTTTTCGTCATTACGGCTTTGAACTTTGAACTGTTTTGAAATATTACTTCTTATGCAATGCAGACAATTGCATTTAAGAACGTCGTGGACTACAATGTACATGTTTAATGCTATTTCATGTTTTTGGTCGCAATTTGGACAATCGTATATTTGTTGGCTTTGATGTTCTAAATTTAAACTTGACGTGTAAGTTTTTGAGCAACTACGGTATTCACACTCCTCGTGATTTATTTTGATGTGCCTTTTTCCATCGTGTATATATGAGGATTTCCTTTGTTTAGAAGCTTTTCCGTCACATTTAGGTTTTCTCCTAAAACAAAAACTTAGTTTCATAAATTCAAAAATGTTATCCATTATTTATATACATTTATATTACACGCTTTATAGTAGCTTCACTTGTAACAAACTATGTACACAAAAATATGAAGTCGATTTTAACCTACTTCCACCCAACCGATCGATCTGAAATTTTGCACACACATTTGGTTCTGGTAACAATACAATCTATCACTCAATATTCTAATTTATTTTAAATGACCCCCGCTCCCAGATGGCGCGTTACTTTTTTATTTAAAACCCAACACCAAGATTTTCTTGAACTCGGACCTAGTACCTATTCCGAATGCAGCCACACCTCACTGTATAATATGATAATGCAAAGTGAAATACTTAAAAAGTTAGTAAGCCAATCAGAACGCGTCATTGTCATCGAGAAGCCATGCTGTCAAAAGCGTTATTTGCAAAGTGTTATTTGGTTATTTATTTATCAAACTCTTTAAATTAAAATACTACTTTAGGATAGCATCCCCATTTAAAGAGTTTGAGGAATAAAGCAAGCTCATGAGATACAAAAAAATGGTGTATGAAAACAAATGTAACTAAAAAATTATTTTATCCGAAATAGGCAGTAAAGTAGTCAACAATCGGCAGTAAATTAGAACTTTACTGCCGATTTAATACGAGTATTGTATGCAAGCCATTATACATTTTAAGATGTGTCTACTGCTCCTCAGCAGCAACTAAATAATATTAAAAAAAAAACACCGCGGTCGATTGGACCCTTTCGTAAAATGTTGTTTTATAAAAATAATAAGTTAATTTTATTAAATAGATTAAAAAATTGCCGCGGCGGGCAAATATATAATAACCGTCGCAACAAACAGTATACGTAGACACTTCAAATTAATAATATTAATTATTAGTATTATTAAATGTGATTTCGGGTAAAATTGAATATGCACCTCGGCATTAAAGTCATTTTTTATCACTCACGTGGTTATTTGCCTCGGCTTTCGCCTCGGCAAATAATGTGATTCGTGATAAAAAATACGACTTTACTGCCTTGATACATAAATAACTATTTTCATTGTCAAGGCAAAACTCGAATGTAAAGTGACATTTCTGTGTAAAAAGTGACAGGTCTGTGTGAAAAGTGACATGTCTGTGTGTAAAGAAATTGACAGCATCGTAATTTTAACAGCTGTGAAACACGTTTTTAGGATATTTAGTTTTGTATTTGAAAATAATTTAAAATAAAAGGGTCGTACAAAAAACATTGTATTTCACTTGTGAGAAAACCGTTCTTCAAGCTCGTGTTAGTGCGCCTAACGGGTTCGTAAGCAACTTAAACACTCGCATAAAAAAGTCGCTTTTCAACACTTAATTATTTATTTATTTTGTTTTATTTTTTATTATATTCAAATACAAAACAAAATAACCTAAAAACGTGTTTGACAGCTGTTAAAATTATTTTCATCTTATTCTTTTAATTTTTAAGGTAATGTTACTTAAAATCTCAATTTAAATAAAGGCACTAAAAATTAGAATTTATTATACAAACACAATTAATTGTGTTCTAAATGATATTTATACATACATATACAAATAAAATACAAATTTTGAAACAAATGTCAAACGATGCTGTCAATTTCTTTTCACACAGACCTGTCACTTTTCACACAGAAATGTCACTTTACATTCGTGTTTTGCCTTGCCAATGAAAAGTTTTATTTTCTAAGCAACGATGCCAATACAAAATGTGACTTTTACATAGTGGTCATAGAAAATAGTTATTTCTTGGAATCTGTGCTTTGAAAAATTATTTATGAATTTGTCTGATGCCTTACAAAATCATATATTAAATTTCGAAGAAATTCTATGAAAACTATTCAAATTGAGATTCTACCTTAATGCAAGCTATTATTTAAAAAATAACATAGCTACATGGAGAATACGAAATAATTTTAATAAAAGTTAAATAAACAAATTTTTAAATAATAATCAAAAAACAAATGTTTATCTGTCTAAATTAAATACTTAAAATGATTCCCCTTATTTTGTAAGTAATAGTAGACTCTATTCTCAAATTCCCTTCAAACATTTTAAATGCTTGTCGTGGAATAGCTTGGCATTCGTTGTCGCAAATCTTTAATAGAATTAAACTGAGTTTTGTAGACCACCGATTTTAAGTGTCCTAAAAAGTTGAATGGTATCAGATCTTGAAATCATTCAATTGTTCCTATTCTACAGATCCACTTTTCTGGATAATTTTGATCCAGCCAAGTCCTAACAGCACCACATAAAGAGATGGTGCCTTGCTGAAAATGTAATACTTTTTCATTCAAACCTAGTTCCTCATCCTTTCTTTTTTGATTACTAAAAGTTCATGTATTATTAGTGGCTGTATTGTTCAACAATGCCAATCTATTCCGCGTCAAACATTTCAAAATTTTAAAACACTATTTAAAAATAAACTTTACAATTGCTTAGTGAAGTCTCAAAAATTAAAAAAAGTATTTTGTTTAGAACGGTTAAATAGACATTTGTATCTATTAGATAGTATACCTACATTAGGGTGTCCCTTATTTTTATTTTTTTTACGCATACCCTCTAATTATATTTATTACTTGTTTATATACTCCCAGTAAGGTTCCTGTTTATAGAATGAGCTGAAATTTTTACTGAGAGTATATAAACAAGTAATAAATATAATTAGAGGGTATGCGTAAAAAAAATAAAAATAAGGGACACCCTAACCTACATCTTTATAAGTAACCTGTCACGAAAACAATATAGTAATTTTTCAACTCTAGTAGTTCGAAAAGATTTGTGATAAACACCTTGTATTACAGGGTGTTAAAGTTATAACTTCTTTAGAGTTTTTCTTAAATTTGTTCTAAAATATAAAGAATAATTTGCACTGTGGTAGTTTTTAAAACTTTTTCTCGCATTCCATGCACTTAATTTTGGTATAAAAAATCACATGGTCATACTCATTTTGAAAAGTTAACTGGTTTTTGGCCATGTTTTTTAAGTGATTATTTTGAATCGTGGCAATACAAACGGATGAACAAGAACTAAATCTGTAAGTCGATTTTGACGGCTTATATTAAAATGTGTTTCAATGCATTTTTAAATTATCTTTATTCGTGTTTAAAATATAGCTATTAAAATGGGGAAAAAATGCCAAAAAAAAAAAATGAGTCAAATTTACAAACTGAGTATGACCACGTGATTTCTTTTACCAAAATTTAGTGAAATTGGGACCATTGCATGGAATACGGAATTTTTGACTTGCACAGTGTTATTTAAATTTAGTATGCATTTATATTTAAGAAAAATCAGTTTTTACCATTATATATAACAGGTGACTATTTTTTCCTGAATATGCAGTTTTAAACCTAAACAAATTTTTCCTTGTTCGTCGCTGGTTAAAATTAATAATGAAATTAGATTCCTTGGTGCGTTTTTCGTTATGTTGCTTCGTTTAAAAGATTTTAAGGAAAGTGACTAAAATTTCATACCAGTATCATTTTATAAAATGATAGGGATAAAATAAAAACAAAATGTTTTTACTCACTCTGATTTAATTCGTCGATAATATTTGTTTCCTTTAACTTCCCCATCTTCAGAAGTGTATGAAGAATCTTCATCAGCGAAAAAGTCACTTTCTTCATCGCGACTATCAACTCTGTAACGATAAGTAGGTATGATTAAACATGAAAAATATACTTCCTTGATAAAACATTTAATCTAATTTATTTAATATATCGTGTATATGGTCTTACCATTAACAAAAACAAAACATTATACGTACAACCCACTGGGAAAGAAACCTTACAAAATATTGCTGCAATGTTCGCCGACTTTACAAATAAAATATTTTCTGTGCTACTTGCATTAACACATTTGAAATATTGCATATAATAATTTCCTACAACCTTAAATTTGAAACATTATTTAAAGATTCACATGGAAAGTTTTTACAATGTTATATTTGTAACATTTAGTATAAAATGTTGCATAAAAGTTTTTAAACATTACAATTGAAGGGGTTAGAATAGAAAGGGTATAAGTGCAATTTCTTTAATTTAGGAGATAAGTTCGTTTTGTGAAAGATAAGGTTCCGACGTATCGAAATGAAAAGGATTTAAGTAATTTTCATACTTCTAGGGACCTCTATTATCCAGTAGAAAAACATTACTAAACAAAATTCTTCACTTTTTTATGGTAACATAACTTTAACTTCAAATATCTCCAAAAAATGAAAATGTTACTTATACCCTTTTTATTCTAACCCCTTCAATTATAATATTGCAGACATAACTTTTTTCAATGTTTTAATTGAAATATTTACACAAGTTTCAAATGAAAAATGTTTGCAACTTTACTTTAAATATACAATAGAAACATTTATTTTGGAATGTTTGGGAATATTTTTGAAACATTGCAATTATAATATTACATTGATAAGTTTTGGGCAATGTTTCATCCGAAATATTACATTAAGATGATTTTTGCAATGTTACTTTATATAAACAATATAAACATTTAATTTGAAAGATTTTTGGAACATTGCAATTATAATATTACATTGATAAGTTTTTGGCAATGTTTCATCCAAAATAATACATTAATATAATTTTTGCAATGTTACTTTATATAAACAATATAAACATTTAATTTGAAAGATTTTTGAAACATTGCAATTATAATATTACATTGATAAGTTTTGGGCAATGTTTCATCCGAAATATTACATTAAGATGATTTTTGCAATGTTGCTTTATATAAACAATATAAACATATATTATCAGTCACCAATCTACTTCACCATGGTTATTCAATATTAAAAAAAACATGTATGTAAGTTTTATAAAACGCTAATGGGACATGCGAAAATGTGTGTTTCACAAGTTTCAAAATTAAAAAAAAAAATTATTCTGAAATAACTAAACAAACATTTTCTGAAAGAGTTTACTAAGGGCTTGTTAGGCTTTCACTTGGTTGTTAAATCAATAAGATCCGATAATTTTTAACAAAGTTATTGGAATTCAAACTTACGGACAGCGAAAGGCGGTTTTTTTTTAATACGACCCATATAACAGTTATAAACCCTAACAATGTTTTTTTAAAGTTTTTTCTCTAGTATAGTTCAGTTTAAATCAATTCTAAAACTAGAGTTATTTGTAAAAAACAGTATTGCAGTTAGTTTTTGCTACTAATACAATAAAATAGCATAAAAATTGTTTTTGTTTGTAGCGTAGTGTGGTGTAGTGTTTTGTATATAGTGTAAAATGTAATAAAATTAAAATAAAAATGACTTACATTGGGACAATTGTTTTTGTACTCCTAGTAGATCTTCTATTTGTGGCTTTACTTTTTGAATTATCTTGGGTTTTTTCATCACTTTCAGACGTGGATAAATCCTTGTCGCTGTTATCATCATCAACATCTGAATCAGTTGCTTCACTTTCTGTGGATGAAGTACTAAAATTGAATTTATAGGGTTTTTAGTGAATAGGTGCTGCGACTTTTATAATCTGTGGACAGGAGGAAATATGTCAATTATTGAGCCTTCACCTCGCCAAAGTTTTTTGTTTTGAGTGCTTTCCACCAACTTCAAATGATCCACTAAACAAATTCACTTTCCATTAAGGATATTAATTCCGCAAAATAATAAAAGACTATTTAAAAATAGACTTAACAATTGCTGAAGTTTTATGGAAGTCATTTACCAAAAAGTTAAAAAAATATTTTGTTTAGTACGGTTAAACAGAAATTTTCAAAAGCTTTTCAATGAGGGGGATGTTGCCATTTAAAAAATAAGTTTCGGGTGCTACAGCACAGGGGTTGCTTAGTGAAGGTCATTTTTGTCATACTGATTCACACATTTTTATCATACTGATTCATACATTTTTGTAACACTGATTCATACTGATTCTCCCCACATATCCTAAAAAACGATAAGAAATTTTAGGTCTAGATTTATAAAGCATTATATACACTGCTGTTCATAAGTTAGGGAACCCCCTTTATAGTTAAGACGCCGGTATATTTACTTTTAAATAAGGCAACTTTCTGAAATTTCAAATTAATATATTTTTATATTATAACATTATGAATAAACTGGTATTTTTTGTATGTTTTGTTTAATTTTAAGGTATTTTACTAAACTGAAAATGCTCTGACAAAAAAATTAATTCGGTTGTAATTTTACAGAAGGTTCCCTAACTTTTGAACAGCAGTTTAGTATACCTCTTTATAAGTAATCGGTCACGAAAATAATATGGTAATTTGATTTGAGATAAAGGTCTTGTAAACAGGGGGTTAAAGTTATAATTTTTTTAGGGTTTTTCTTAAATATGTTCTGAAATATAAAGTATAAATTAGAAGTTTTTAAAACTTTTTTCCTGTATTCCTTATTTTTCATCCGTTTGTATCGCCACGATCTCAATCCATCCACCAGAAAACGTTTCATCCAGAAACTGCCGTACAGGTAATGCATATGAAGCGAACATTAAAAAGGTTGTTATAATTATTTCGGACATTATTTGTCAAAATTGTAAACGGCGGTCATTTTCATGCAATTCTTAAAGAAGTTGAATTTTATATGGGTGCCATTTATTGTTGCCTGCGAAACTTCTGTTAAATCAGAAAGTTTTCCGGTAAGTACTTAATTTAGGGTCCAAAGTAATTTCACCCAGAATAGCTACTTCTACTGCCTTATTTCTCACCTGATTTTCAATATCTCGTTTTTTATTTGCCGTAATTTTGCTACTAATTTTAGGTGTCTATTTGCATGCATCTCATTAAACAAAGTTGCCGTTACTCTTGCACATTGGTTGTTTATAAAATACAATTAAATAATTTCCACTCTCACCTATATATTTTTTTAAAAATGGTATCACTCACAGAATAGTTAGGATTAGAATAAGTACTATACATTTTTGAAAATTAACTGATCTACACAAAAGGTTTTTTGATAAATGTAAGCGTTTTAAATATAATCGCAACTAAAGTTCAATTTATACTATACCTTTTTTTAACAACTAGTAGGTATCGTAAAACTATTAATTTTACTTCGATTTTTTAAATATTTTTATAAATTTGTGTTCTTTTTTATTAATTAAAATAAGCTTTTAAAGGAAGAGGAAAATCACAAAAATTCGACACCCTAACCGTTGATATTCCAAAAAAATCCTGAGAACATCCAAAGAAAAAATAGCCTGATAGGCCACTATATAACGCACTGAAGCTAGCAGCTAATAAGAACGTTGATTCAAAAAAAGTTAAACTACACTCACAGGCAAAATAATCGATCCACACAAATTTTCGATGAATTTCAATCGCAAATAACTTTTTAATTTGATTTCGGATTTAAACAAATATTAAAGGATATTGTAGATTAGGGTGTGCCAAAAAAACTCGATATTTTTTTTTCCTTGCTCTCCACCCAAAATATCGTAGAATATGTCCGAACAAATATCCTGTTAAAAGCGGAGCTCATAATTTCAATTTTAAGAGGTCCATCATCGAATCTGAAGTTTTGCCGCTTAAATAGCACAGAAAGTCAGTTTTCTACCTTATTTATTCTTGCAACCTAGGAAGAATTTTTTTTTTCATAAAATCCATGACTAATTCTTAAGCATTAAATTTAGACAAAAAAATCTTATTAAGCCAAATTTTTTACAGAGCTTTAAATTTAAAATTTGACGTTTTTTGCCTTTTTCAGCTATTGAAACTATTGAAGTTAGACGAAAAAGTCAAATTTTAATTTTACCATAAGTTTAAGACACTCTGTAGAGTGGCAAAACCGTATATTGTTCGGAATTTAGTTTTAATTATCAAGTCACATCTATTTTTAACAGTTTTGTTTTTGGTTCATCTTGATATATTTATTTTTGTGGAAAATATGTTTTTTTTTAAAAAAACATTGCAATTTTCAATATTTTTCCTGAATGAAGAACTAAGGTTGCTATGGTCCATCCATAGCCTATGGAGGATGACAGTGACAGTTTTGTTGAATCATCCCATACTTGGACATGTCATATACAGCTTTCAAAAGCTATCAAATTGTTTTTTGTAAATTAATGTGTTAATTTTGAGGTGTCTTTTTACTTTCAAAAATGTCTCCGACTGATGTTGCCCTTTGTACTTTACTTCTTATGACGTTTAAAACACTTGCCACGTAATACCGTCCATTCTGGATTAAATTAATGGTTCTGGCAACATCAGTCAGAGACTTATCCATTTTTTAAAGTAAGAAGACACCCCAAAATTTAAACCTTAATTTGCAAAAAACAATTTGATAGCTTTTGAAAGCCGTGTATGACATGTCCAAGTATGGGATGATTCAACAAAACTGTCACTGTCATTCTCGATAGCCTATGGATGGACCATAGCAAACTTAGTTCTTCATACAGAAAAATATTGGAAATTGCAATGTTTTTTTAAAAATCCATATTTTCCACAAAAATAAATATATTGAGGTAAACCAAAAACAAAACTATTAAGAATAGATGTGACTTGATAAATAAAACTTAATTTAGAACAATATACTGTAAAAAACATCTTGTTGTTTAAACCTGTATATTATAAACGTACGTCTATTTTTTAGTAATTTTTTAAAATGTGAGCGATTGTCCATTAATTTATATTCTTTAATATTCGTTTAAATCCGACATCAAATAAATAAATAAAGTTATTTGCGATTTAAATTCATCAAAAATTTGTGTGGAGCGATTATTTTGCCTGTGAGTGTATGTCAGAATATTTTAAATATTATAAATGAGTAGGGATAGAACGATATCACTTTTTTTTGCCGATACGATATATCGGCCGATACCAATATTTACGTGCCGATATACCGATATACCGATATATCGTATCGGCAAACATAATGCCATCTATTTATACACGACCGAAGCAAAAATCGGGGAAGTCCCGTTTTAATTTCGTTGCGAGAAAACGTTTGTGATTGGTAGTGAGTGACATTTCGGATTTCTGGGAAGCCCCTTATACAGTGTTATTAAAACGAATAGATACACTTAAATAAAACAAGTGCCAAACCCCGCCCACTGTGGTAGGTATTGAGAATTTATAGTTTTTATTTTTATCGAATTCGTTTGTTTTGTTTTAATGCATTTCTGCAAATAAAACCTAAGTATTGATTAAAATCCATTAAGTATTAAGTATATACTGTATTTAGTACCTGCTAAATTAGGTATATTTGTTGTAAGTGGTGTTAGGATTTGTTTTACTTTTTTAGTAAAAATGTTACCTTTAGAATAAAAATTTTTATTTTGTTTAATAAAGTATTTCATTTATGCACTGAAGAGTGAAAATCGCAATTTTTTTTTGCCGATATATCGGCAATTATCTTGCCGATACGATACGATACCGATAATCGGAAACAATTGCCGATATGCCGATATACCGATATCAATATCGGTATCGTTCTATCCCTATAAATGAGTATACATGGTGTTTCATAATATATGCGCAGGACTTCAGGATGTGATAGCTCATCCAAAAAGATGATAAAAGTCGCTATTAACTTACCCTCTAAAATGCACAATTTTCGAGTTACAGGGTGTTGAAATTTTAGAAAAAAAAATCGTTTTTTTTTAATATCTCTGGAACCGTTTATCGTACAAAAAACAGCTTTTGTAAGCATTTTCTACTCATGCGTTATGTTGCTTCGTTTAAAAGATATTAAGGAAAGTTACTAAAATTTCATACCAGTAGGTATCATTTTATAAAATGATAGGGATAAAAAAATTAAACAAAAATGCTTCTACTCACTCTGAGTTAATTCGTCGATAATATTTTTTTCCTTTAACTTCCTCATCTTCAGGAGTGTATGAAGAATCTTCATCAGTATAAAAGTCACTTTCTTCATCGCGACTATCAACTCTGTAACGAAAAGTAGGAATGATTAAACATAAAAAAGATACTTCCTTAATAAAACATTTAATCTAATTTATTTAATATACTTATGGGGTGAAGAAAATGGTCTAACCATTAACAAAAACAAAACGTTATATATGCGATTTTACCAAAAAATGTTTCACCAGATTATGATCTATTTATTCCAATTATAGGTAAATCAATTGAATGCGGAAATCAAAAAGTTTTTGGGTACTTACTTGGATAAAAAGTTAACGTGGGAAACACAAATAAATAATTTAAATTCATTAAGAGGGCCAGTAACCTTTTCAGTACTGCGATTTATGTACTTTGGGGTAGTCCAGGCACATATTGCCTATGTCATTATATTTTGGGGTAGCTCTTGTCATTTTAACAAAGTTTTTATAATGCAAAAAAGATCCTTAGGTTCATGGATAGCAAAAGTTAAATTTATTCTTGTAAACCATTGTTTAGGAAATACAGAATTTTAAGTCTTCCCTGTTTATACATATAAAATTTGTATATATATATTAGGGTGTTTCAAAAAAATCGACTTTTTCTTTTTCTTCAAATGGTCGGCAAATTCTTTCAGAGGATGTCAACACAAAGACCTCGTCAAAATTTGAGCTTTTAATTTGAAGATTTAGAGGTCGCGGATCGCAATTTTCTATTTCCCATTTAAATAACATGGGAATTTTTTTTTTTTTAACTTTGAAATTTTATACGTCTGAATCGAATCAACTTATGTCAAGGATCATCTTAGATTTTCATAGTAAATTTAACGCTCTACAAAAAAGGTCTCCTATAATTTTTCTATAAATTGATTCCTTCCAGAGTTATTCGAGGCCAAAGTTTGATTTCCATCGAATATTAGCGTTTTTTTTTCATTATACGGGTGTCCCGAAATCAGGGGGCCAAACTTAAACAGTGCATTATTCGTATAAAAATAACACTTTTTTTGTTTAATAAACATGTATCAAAAAATGCTCCCTAAAGGAGCTACGGCCCCCTGAATAGGAGCCTAAGAGGATAATTTTTTTAAAACTATTCCTAGAGGGTTGAACATGAACAATTTTCGGTATTTTGGTAATTTTGACATGCTGAATCTAGATCTATGATCAAAACTGTTAAAATTTAATCATAGGCGTAACATTTTGAGGGGGCAAAGTTACAAAAATAGCCCCAACTTTTTTCTGGGTTAATAATTTAATTTTTTTTATGAAATTATGAGAATTTATAGTTTTTTACGAAAAATAGGTACTCTTGATTTGAATTGCTCAGATGCACCATTTTCGAGAAAAATGCATTTATAAATAAATTACTCTGCATATTATACACATCTCATATTTTCATTAAAACTTTGTAGTAGGCTTTGGAAAAAAGGGACGTTTTTTTGTTTTTTTGTTTTTTTTACAACACTTCCTATGTTTCAGATATAAATATGTGATTTTTTTTACTACATGATGCTAAAAGTTGAAAAAACAAGAAAATTCGATGGAAATCAAACTTTGGCCTCGAATAACTCTGGAAGAAATCAATTTATAGAAAAATTATAAGAGACATTTTTTATAGAGCGTTAAATTTACTATAAAAATCTAAGATGTTCCTTGCCCGATATAGACGTATAAAATTCCAAAGTTAAAAAAAAATTTCCTGTTATTTAAATGGGAAATAGAAAATTGCGATCCGCGACCTCTAAATCTTCAAATTAAAAGCTCAAATTTTAACGAGGTCTTCGTTTTGACATCCTCTGAAAGAATTTGCTGACCATTTGAAGAAAAAGAAAAAGTCGATTTTTTTGAAACACCCTAATATATATATATATATATATATATATATATTGAAAATAAAAAAGACATTTTGACTAATGGTAACATACATACACTATCGGACAAAAGTAGAGCAATAAAGTTATTTTTTAGTCATGTTTGAATAAAAAAACAGTGGGTTGTGATTTTTGGCTCATTTTAATAAAATACCATCTTTACTTCAAAACTAATATTTCACAATATTTAAATCAGTTTAAGAGTGGTAAATAATAATAATTATAAAAATTAATGAGAATGGGTGCGAAAAAAGTAGAGCAACAAATTGTATTCAACAGAATTTTATTGTGTTTTATTTCAACAAAAAATATTTAACCCATTTTAGAACTATAACAATTAAATGTAATTCATTAATAATTAATAGAATATCCATTATTATTAATTACTTGCTGACAACGGCGCGGCATTGAAGCGATCAACTTTTGAATGACATTTTGTCCAAACTTCACTAATTTTATTTACCAACGATTGTTTATTTGAAAAAAATTGCGTACGAATACGACGTTCTACTTCTTCCCAGAGATTTTCAATGGGGTTTAGGTCTGGGGATTGTGCAGGCCACTGCAAAACTCGAACGTTTTTTTTTCTTAAACCACTGTTGAACAACTTGTGAAGAGTGTTTTGGATCATTGTCCTGATGGAAAATAAAACGTAATGGCATTTCCCAATCTGCATAAGGAAGCATAATATTTTGCATGATATCCCGATAAACAAATCGGTCCATCGTGTCATTAATAAAACGTATAGGGCCTACCCCATTTCAAGAGAAACAACCCCATAAAAACACTGCCTTTACCATGTTTAACTGTAGGTGTTACGTATTTAGGATTAAACCTTGTATTGATTGGCCGCCTCACACGTCTCATTCCATCAGAATTAAATATTTTGTAACGCGTTTCATCACTGAATAAAACTTTTTTCCAGTCATCGACGGTCCAGTTCAAATGCCGACGTGCAAATGCCAATCTTGCTGCTCTATTTCTTTCCGAAACTAACGGCTTTTTAGCTGGACGTCTACTAAACAACTTTGCATCTACTAATCTTCTTTGAACTGTTCGAATACCAACCGTAATTTCTGGAATTTCGGCAATAATTCTAGGTGCGGACTTCCAAGGATCATTTTGAGCAATTCTTTTGATGCGTCTGTCGGTGAATACTGTTGTTTTCTTTGGCCTTCCCGATTTTAGTAACTTCTCCAAGTGTCCCCAGTCATTATTATGGATACACTGTACCGGGGTAACACAAACTGTCTTGAAATATCGGCTTGTTTGTTACCTTCCATGAATGCATTCACAACTCTTTGCTTCAAGTCTTTTGAAATTGGAATTCCTCTTGGCATAACTAATCCAGCACAGAAATTTTCAAAAAGGACATAAAATAAACCCCACACAATTAGTTTTGCCTTTACTTTCGCTAAAACCCCTTCTTTTGAAGAAATTATTTAAATGTTGCTTTACTTTTGACGCATTACTATTTAGCTTAAAACTAAATGTCAAAATATATTCATTTGTTTCTTCGTGAAAATTCTTGTTTTCGCCGATAATCATAGCCTACTTTGATGTCTTAAAACTTATTGCATTTTTATACATTATCATGCATGTAAAAATATAATATCGGGATTTGCATATATTTTTTGAAGTGTTGCTCTACTTTTGTCTGATAGTGTAGTTATTTAACAAGAAGTCAAAATAAGTTAGCTTTGCCACTTTATAGACTCTGTGTGTATGTATTTTTTTATTTATATGGGAATTAAATGTTATAATAAAGTTATGTCTATTGTATCTTATTGTAAATGTTCAAAGTTGTTAAAAAAACAAGCTGCAGACTCTGTTTTTAGAGAAAGAATACTATTCTGTGGAAGAGTTTCTTAATAATAATTTTTAAGAAATTTTTCTTTTTTGTTCCAAGTGTTTTTATAAATTATTTTGTAATTTTACTACTGGTTTATATATGCTGTAAACTGTGTGATCAATAAAAATTATTATAATTAATTTACAAACAAAAAACATTGTTGCAATCATTAAAATTTTGGAGGAAACTTTGGAGAGCTCTTTAGTGTACCTAATCATAATAAAAGTATCAAAGATACATAACAATCGCTCATATACAGTGTAAGTTCAGTTTATTAAGCAATATTTCAACAAGGAAAATACTCTGCGAAATTAGTGGCAAAAGGTACTACCTGTGCAGGTGAAATCACATTAATCACATTAAATCGCTGAAATAGTAAAGTGTATTAAGCAATCTTCCAACAAGTGAAAATACCAAAGAGCCTAGTAAAATTACAACTGAAATGGCTGAATCTTCTTTGAAGTCAGTATTGGGTAATATTAGCTGATTCTTCCTTACAGTCAGCTGCCTATTTCAAACAACCAAGCGCGGGCGGAGAAACGGAAGTAGACACGTCTAGCAAAGGTTAGGCCCTCACATGACCCCCATATTAGTGTGGGTCAAAAAAACCGACTATTTTTTTTTACTTTGTACTCTGAAAAATCGGTTACTAGACAACTCTAGAGAATTCTCACCAAACATGAGTTCTTAATTTTGATAACAAGGTCCTCCGCTCTACAATTTTCCATTTTTTCCTCAGGATTAGAAACAAAAACTCATATCTCTTCGACAACTGTTTGTTAAAAAATAACTCTCCTCATATTCTTGTAGGAAATCGAACGCTCTACAAAAAAGGTCTCCTACAATTTTTTCGTAAACCTCACCGTTAAAAAGATATCGTAGGTTAAAGTTTAATCATTTTAAGAGAAATTTCTGTTTTGCTTATGAGTTTTATAACTCGCTTACAAAATTTTTTTATGAATCGAGCAACTCATAGTTTTGTAGTAAATTAACTGCTCTACAAAAATTGTCTTTTATGATTTGTCGATTAAATTAAGCGTTTAAAAGATATTCATCGTCAAACTTCAATGGATACTAATTTTAACAGTTTTTGATGAATAATTCGAAAAATTTCAATTTAATTTTTGAGTTTTACAAAAATTTATACAAATTCGAGTTTTTATCGTAAAAGTAACTCTTATAGAAGTTTCCCTTTCGAAAATTTATTTGAGACTTTTTTATTTTAATAATATTTTCATGAAATTTATCTTTATAATAACTTAAAATCATAAGCAATTGAAAGTTGTTAATGATTCGGCAGAGCGAGCTGTTGCATTAGTCGATGATTATAACCAATGCTTAAAAACAAATGAAGAGCAATTTCAATATTTATTGCAAGTTATATAAGAACATCGCAAACAATACCAAAATTGTAATAAAGAAAACTTTTTACAGTAAAAGTTAAAATTTTTATTTCAAACTTTTTAATTACAAATAGAATATTTTTTTTTCTTTAAGATCAATACTTTTCATATTAAATTTATGACAAAAACGTTATTTTTTTCATAATTTAATAAATCATTGACTCTGAGTTAGAAATAATGCACTATTTTTCTTTTCAATATAACCAAACATATGTAGGCAGGGCCGGCGACAATAGCGGTGCTCGCGGGCTCAAGCACCACACGTGAAGGAAAATAGTGGTGCTCAGCACCACACGTATCATCTGCAGAAAAATTGCATTTCTTTTGCGGTCTATACATTTTTTATCCTGCTAGCCTGGGATACACACCAACGCCCACTACAAATTTACGGTTGAAGCTGAGGAATCCAAAGTTTAAAGTACCAAAGTGGGTCGGTATAGTATGTATAAGTGTATGTATCTTCGTATAGTAGGAATAACATACCGACACGTCGCGACGTGTATTTAGGGTATTTCTACTATACTGACGGTAACCGACCAAACTTTGAGTTATAGGTATTATTATTATTTACAGTTTTTAACAACAAAGGTAAGTTAGTTCGAATCCTAGAGTAACTCTGTTTTAATTGTCTCTCGTAACAAAATCTAGAACGATTATTTTAAACCCGTATTTTTTATGCTGGTAACCCTTAATCCAAGAAATGGCAGGTGGTAACCCTAAAAACGTCCGATGTGGCAGTAATATACCTATCCCATTCGATTCCATTACAGGGTGAATTTTTTAACTTGAAACTTTAAAATATCTCGCGTAATAAGCATTGTCGAAAAAACTATATATATAGTTATATATAAACTAAATTTAATCATTCATTAGTGCTAAAATTAGTAGAGTGCTCTCCCTGTATATAAAATATGACTGAGTTTGATAAATATTGACTAAAAAACTATTCCAATTTTATTTTGTTCTCCTTCCCGCAACCCCCAAGGAAAAGAACACCACACCCTCCATCAGTGGCGGCTGGTGGATTTTGGGTATACCGATATCTCAATTATTAGATATGGGACCCACACCAAATAAATATAGGTAAAATAAATTTAATTGGTGCAATTTATTATTTACCATAGTTTATCGACAAATTTCAAATTTTATTTAAAAAATCCAAATAATAGAGATATTATATCATTTTAAATTTTTATTATTTCTTTGAAAAGAAATATTAAAAATTTAAAATGGTATAAAATCGGTATAATTTGGATTTTTTAAATGAAATTTGAAATTTGTCGATAAATTATGGTAAATAATAAATTGCACCAATTCAATTTATATTATATTTATTGGGGGCGCTATGGGGCCGGTACGGCCGAGCAAAAATTTATCTTTTTTTCGCAAACTACAAATTAAATTCTGCTTGCGCAGAACTTGTTTATTTAATATATAAACTCATATAAATTTGGTGTGGGTCCCATATCTAATAATTCTCAATTGATCGTTATACCCAAAATCCACCAGCCGCCACTGTCCCCCATCCATTAACCACTGCTACCAACATCTGTAGATGAGCACCACACGTCAAAATGAAAAGCTGCCGGCCCTGTATGTAGGACTAAAAAAAAACGAGAAAAATAGTTTCTCTTTTCATAGGAACTCAAATTTGTATACATTTTCGTAAAACTAAAAAATTAAATTGAAATTTTTCGAATTATTCATCAAAAAATGTTAAAATTAGTATGCATTTAAGTTTGACGATGAATATCTTTTAAACGCTTAATTTAATCGACAAATCATAAGAGACCATTTTTGTAGAGTAGTTAATTTCCTACAAAGCTATGCGCGATTCATAAAAATTTTTTGTAAGCGAGTTATAAAATTCATAAGCAAAACAGAAATTTCTCTTAAAATAATTCAACTTTAACCTTCGATATCTTTTTAACGGTGAGGTTTACGAAAAAATTGCAAGAGACCTTTTTTGTAGAGCGTTCGATTTCCTACAAGAATATAGGGAGAGTTATTTTTTAACGAACAGTTGTCGAAGAGATATAAATTTTTGTTTCTAATACTGAGAAAAAAATGGAAAATTGTAAAGCGGAGGACCTTGTTATCAAAATTAAGAGCTCATGTTTGGTGAGAATTCTCTAGAGGTGTCTAGTAACCGATTTTTCAAATTACAAAGTAAAAAAAAAAATAGTCGGTTTTTTTGACCCACCCTACCCCATATGCTTGTGGTATTACTTAATGCCCCGGTCTATGGGGGTTCCGCGTCGTACCTAGGTTTGGGTCAGCGATATTTTCCTCTGAAAATCAAAAGATCTACCCTCCCAGTTCTCAACTCGAGGTCCGAAAGAGATTATGCTGATGGAGCCAGCTATAAGCTCCATATTTTCACAAGTATAACAATAAAAATGATGTTTGGACAGAGTGATTGTACCTACTATTGTGCCTCATTAAAAAGAAAATTAAAGATCACGTCTTGTCCATCTTGCTCTGTCAACCATCGGAAGCACATAAACTTTCATGGATTATGTAATCGATCTGACAATTTTTATGTCAGATGTAATATGGGTTGTTTGAAATATAATATTTTTTTATTAATTGTTAATATTGTGTAAAACTTTTTTAAACACACACTCAATTGCGAATTGTAGGTATTACTAATACTAATACCGTATTAGCCATTCAGTTGGCTTCTGGGACTTGAGAAGCAAGGGTGGAACTTAAAGAGCACTAAAAGAGTTATAAACTCTAACAATATTTTTTATAGTTTTTTCTCATTTATAGTCCAGTTTAAATTATTTTTAAAACTAGAGTTTTTTATAAAAAAAACAATATTCAGTTAAATTTTGCAAATAACATAAAATAGCATAAAATAGTTTTTGTTTGGTCCGATAATATATAGTGTTAAATGAAAGAACATATAAATTAAAATGACTTACATTGGGTCAATTGTTTTTCTAATCCTTGTAGATCTTCTAACTTCACGATTTTTCGCTTTAATTTTTGAATTATCATTGGTTTTTTCATCACTTTCAGATGTGGATAAATCCTTGTCGTTGTTATCATCATCAACATCTGAATCAGTTGCTTCACTTTCTTCGGCTGAACTACTAAAATTGAATTTAAACAGGGTGTTAAGTGAATAGGTAAGTATTGTGACTTTTATAAACTGTGGACAGGTGGAAATATGTCATCGGATAATACAATTATTATTATATTAATTAAACACAAAATTTTAGGAACTGGATTACAAAGTTTCGGAGAAAGACTAAGGTGGTCTTTATACCAAAGGCCGTGACCCAGTAAGAAGCCTAAGTCATACAGTCCAAAGTATATCATTATTTTGTGGAAGATTTCCTGGATCTCCCCCTGAAAAATGGGATCCTAGCCAGGAACCCCCTAAATAAAAACCAATATATCAAAAAGGCAAATCAACAATGGATGCTTCCAGCGATCTCAATAGGCTATGTCGGAATAGGGTACGCAGACGACATAGCTGATTCAATCAGCACTGAACTTGGTAATCGGATCATGTGGAGAAAAAGGTCTGGGGGTAAACCCTCAAAAACGGTAATTGTACTATTTTTCAACGAAAAAAAACATGGACACATTAAAACCAATCCTCATGGAAGTCGTGTAATTGCAAATCCTCAGAGAGGTAAAATATCTGGGCGTTATTTAGACCAGAATCTAAACAGACATATGTCATGTAAGACATAAAGTCCTGAGGAGTCTCACATATACAAAGTACCGCTAAGAAAGTACCAGTACAAAAATCCATACTAAAATACACCTGCACATAAGACGACCCGCATTGAAGGAAGCCCTAAGAACCTAAAGGACGGCAAATAAAAAATGGGGTCTGCCCATGGGCACCTTATTCTCAATATGGAAATAAAACTTATCTTTGATAAAAACCTTGAAACAAAACTGCCTGAAAGGAACGAATGGCTGGAAACTCATCTACCGGTCGAAAAGGAAAGAGGGGATTTACACCGATGGTTCGGTGAGAGACAGTGGGGCTGGTCTGGGGATCTATAGACCCTCTACGGAGTTGCCAAGATCGCTAGGCAGGTGCTGCACAGTCCTTTAAACCGAAATAATTGTCATTATATGAGCCCAAATTATCCTTGACAAGAACTTTAAGGGCGTGAGAATCTATATAGGAAGTGACCGTAAGGCCGCAATCAAGGCTGTGACAAACGTAAACAAAATAAAAACTGGTTGAAAAATTTCACGAATGCCTGGAGCAACTGCCTCATTTTTTTACCAGGGCATGCAGGAATTCACGTTGACAAAAAAGATTCGAAGGAACCACCAGTGGGCCCAGAACCATTCTGCCCTACTAAGCGCAGAAGCGGTAACTGCGCATTTAAAGGAAATTGACATTTTCCCGTAATATGAAACTAGGGTTAAAAATCTCTACTTTAATAAGGTATTAAATCGGTATTTTGTCAGTAAATGATTGAAATATCAAGTTATTTTTAGGGGTATCTGTTACCAAACTGAGTTGGCCGAGCTATTAACATAAAAGTACCAATATCTCATGACAGCCATTATGTTAATTACCGCTTCTGCGCTTAGTACGGCAGCATTCTACGGATATACAAGACAATAGGTATATCAAAACTAAAATCAGGAAATGGGAGCAAGGATAAAATCGTCACACTGGAACAATATTGAACACCTATTGGATTGGCAATATTGTGGGGACAATAACCTTCTGCTCCTAAACAGAAAAGACCTGAAACAATTAGTTGGAATCACTACAGGTCACCACCCAGTCAAAGCACAACTCAAAAAATGGGTAAGACTGGTAATGATTCTTTAAAGATGATAAGGAGTCTGTACATCATCTTCTGACAGAGTGCATAGAACTATCGCAAAAAGGGTAATATCGTTCGGAAAGGCATTTCCTAACCGCGAAGATCTTAGAAATAGTGATGCAAGATTACTAATCTCGAACTTTAAAGGGCCAGTGGTAACATAACAAATAACCCTAAGGATAGTACAAAAGATCGTAAGGTGGAGGTGTCTTTAAAGTATACTATTTTACTAAAAAGCCTTAGGCATTCTTTCTTAATCTAAAATCGGGTATTTTCAACTCTGCTTAAATTTAAAAACCCAAATCATAAGCATTGAATTACATATAAAATTTGTATCTTTTGTAATCATTGCATGTATTTAAAAATACTTACTTGATTGTAACATGAAAATCATCCAGGCAATGCTCCTCTTCTTCTTCTTTCTGTTGAGTATTGACTTGAGATTCATCAGAAGAATCACTTAATTCAATACATTCAATGGATTGATGTGTATCTAAGGTTTCACAGCTAAAAATAATTTTTATTTATAGTCATTGATGACTACCCGAATTAATTTTTAAAATATTTTAATTATTTTTAATTAAATCTCACATTTAAGTTCTGTATCCAAAGTTGTATCATTAACCCGATAGAGGTCATTAAGGTTTGGTATAAATATTCTCTTATATGTTTTTTACTGCTAATGAGTTGGATATTTTTTAAGTAAATAGTATGTATTTTTTCTGTGGTTCCTCCTAATACATATGATTAAAGTAAAGTAACGCAATACGAAAGGTTATTTTAAACATAAAAGATCAGGTAAGCCACCCTCATCACACAAAATATACTTCCAAGTATAGTTAAGTATTAAAAAAATTGTCATGTGTTTTAGATGAACAGATATACCCAACAAACGATCTTGGTACACAGAAAAAAAGGAATGGTTAATTTAACTATATTAATTTAGTTGACCCATATTTATTTAAATCAACTATGGGAAGGTTAATATAAATAAAGATTAGTTTGACGGTACTAAACCAGATAGTTATTTTATTTTTTTAAATTGGTTAAATTAACCCAGAAAACTTTAGTGAATCCAACCCGCTATATGGTTCAGTTTACTAAATATGTTATTTGTAAAATAAGAGTTACTTCAACCTTAAGCACTCTGTTAAAACGATTAAAACAATTTGCCGTGCATTCCTGGTTGCATAGTATGTACCGATCGCGGCAAAGGCGGTGTGGATCACGGGATGTTCTTAAATCTCGCCTCTGTTGACTTACATGGATAGTATATAAGCTCAGGTAGTCCTTTGCTTTGGTGTGACACTACAAGTTGTTCGATACTGAAGAGACCTTAAATAGGTGGAAACAGCTGTCAATACTTGAAGTATTTTAAGTTGGTGGAACGCAGTAAAGTCATTATCTCTAGCGAGGTGAAGGTTCAATTTTCTGGAATAATACCACTGGTATTATACTAGTAATACGTCAAAGAACTTCCTGTTTCTTGAAGAATATAAGAAAATTGAATGAATGGCTTTAAAAAAATGTTTCCACTCCAAATATTTCAAGATCTTATTTTTATTGTATATTGTATATAAATGCGCCAAACGCTATGGGTAAGTTGTAGCAAGCCGTTAACCTAGTTAGGGTAACAAATTATATTGAGTCAATTCAACCAAATGTATTTAGTACATTGGACTGGTAGGTAAAGGTCACTTTAACTATATAAATGTTTGTTAAAACCATATATAGTTGTAAAATATAACTAAATGCGGTTGTTAAAATAACTAAATGTTTGGTTGGCTCTATTGAAACAACAGATTTAGTTAAATGAAACAAATAATAGTCGGGCTAACTAAACCTTTTTTTCTGTGTAGTATTATGTAAATGGATATACCCGTTATAAATGTTTAATTATTAATGTAAAAACTACTGTACAAAACAGACGTGTCTTAAGTCTTAAAGGAACAAACAAATCCCTTTTATACAGTGTAGTTCAATTTATTAAACAACAAGGAAAATATTGTGCAAAATTAGTGCTAAGAGTCACTACATGTGCAGAGATCACTATATATAGTGTATGGTATATATACCAGTCCAACGAATAGAAGCATTAAATCGCTCAAATAGTGAAGTGTATTTATTAAGCAATCTTCCAACAAGTGAAAATACTGTACGAAAACAGACAAACTACCTGTGCAGGTGAATTTATTGTACCTGTCTCCCAAGGGAGCCAAAACACCTCTTATGTGAATTTCAGAAATAAACGTACATAGGCTAAAACCGCATGAATTCATTTGCATCCTTTTATAAAAAGTAATCTTGCATTTCCTATCAACTACACGGAGAGAAAAATTTTGCCAAAATAACTATCCAAAGTATTGTTAAATGACGTATAGTGAATTTAGTCAACTGTTTTATTAAACTGAGGATCTGTATAGCCAATTTAGCCATACAAATCCTCAATTTAATAAAACAGTTGACTAAATTCACGATACGTCATTTAACAATACTTTGGATAGTTATTTTAGCAAAATTTTTCTCTCCGTGTAAACCAGGGACGGAAACCGAAAGTTGTTAGTTTCGATGAGATCTGAAATTTCACCTTCAAAACAAATAATCAAATATTTAAATACCAGCACATTTCGGTTTAAATCAGGACTCCGTACTAGAGAAGTAGATAGCAAAATGATAATATATTATCCTATAGGATATTATCCGATAGGATCAATTAAACTAAAATAATAGCAATACCAAATAATGTTTTATGAAATTATATGAGAAATAAATAATTATGAATTATTATTATTAATGTCAAAATATAAAGGGGGCCCTAAGTCTGCTTAGACTCAGTTTCCCTCTTAAAAGGAGTTTTTATTATTTAAAAAAGTGGTTAAATACCCTGATGAATTTGTTAATAGACCATTTGCAACCGCTCCCCTAAGACCCTAAATAAAATCATAAATTTTTAGTTTGTAGTTACACAGGTCTACAATTTTTTTAAAACAGAAACCAGACTATTTTTTTCTGAAGGTTTTGAGGGGCCGAATCAGAATTGGTCCATCACAAAAAATTTCAACCCAAATATAATATTTAAAACCTGTGATTTATCAATTAGTTCTAATTATGATACAAATATTAGTGAAGATTAGATCAGATTGATTTTTAATTAGCATTTCTTTATAGGTTTGCCATACCAACAGACAAAGTTATTTGAAAAATTTGGGTTGAGCGAATAAGAAATGAGAAGCTTGTGATTCAAGAAGACTTTCATAATTTTATGGTTTGTATGCTTTATTATGTTATTTTCTATATTTGTTAAAAATTCTATAATAAATTTATGTTCAATTACATTTGTTGTTTTTCTTACGACATAACCCAAGCTACAAAAAAACATAACATAATTGAGTTTTCCAGGTAAAGAAATTACAGATTTCTATACTGTCGAAAATGTATTTGAGATATTCCGATAGATGGCGCTCAAAATACAATTCATTTTAAGACTAAGAGAGAAAGCTTTCTCTTACTTTCTTTATCTTTGGTAGGCAGCGTTGCCGTTGCCGGGTATTTTACCCAAAATTCGGGTATTTTGGAGTATGTGCCGGGTAAAATAATTAAACGGGTAAAACCGGGGATTTTAACCCTTTGACCCAAATTTGCAAAAATAAAAATTGTAGAACCAACAGCAAAAAATAAAACTTTAAAATTAAAATTCAACCATTCGACCTACGCTATTTCTGCGAAAATGAAAATGTCAAAGTTCATTTTGACCATTTATACAGTTACCTAATAGATGGCGCTATACGTCTTTATTTTATATTGCGCATGTCCTTGACGTTAATTTGACAGTCAACGGGTATTTTATTTATAACAGAAACAGACTGAACACCTACACAATCGCCGCATTATTACACACAAAAGAGGCAGGAGGTCCTGTCAGATTTGAACCATCAAACAAAATGTTAAATTCTAATTTACGGAAAAAATAAAGTACTTAATCCCTGAGAGGAGGTTCATCCACTATTTATTAATAAAGTAAGCATGTATATGTATTAATAAAGTTCCTACCTAATAGTACCCTAGTAGCAATTCCGGAAAAGTCTTGGCCAAGCATGGGTCAAGATACTTTGGACATATTTTTGCTCAAGAATTGTACAAGAATTGTTCCAGATTCTTGGCCAAGATTATTGGGCTAGACTTGAGCCAGACTGTGGCCAGAATTTGACAAGAATTTGACCAGAAATCTGAGGCCATCTATTGCTAAACTTTGGGACTATCCTATAGAGTAGAGGTTCTCATTCTACAGTAGTATCATTCACAATAATATATACTAGTCGAGAAGTGAGTTCTCTGTAGGAAATGAGTATAGTTTTTTTGTTTGTGATAATACGAATCGGAGCTTATTGGATTCGTCTTCTAGCTGAGAAAAAAATTGATTTTTTGAAATATAAAAATTGTTATTTCTAAAAATCAAAAATTAAAAAAAAAAGTGTGTGTCAGCTCTGACGCATAACTAGAGTTTACTCTTTATGAACATGAAAGATTATAAAATACATGTTTATTTTTACGGGCACCTGGTTTTTTTTAACATAGAAAATTAAAAACTTTCAAAATTTGTTTCGTTTTTAATTCTATTGTTTACCAGATTTATGGATAAAAACCGAATTTACTGGAAATAAATCGTGGAAAATTAATGTTTTTAGTAACATTCTTAACTTTTGAAGTTCAACAAAATTTTGTATTGACCAAAAATCTTGAATTGAAAGTTCCTATTTAACGTGTAATCGTGTAAAAATTCTTGGCCAAGAATCTGATCAAATTCTGGTCACAGACTTGTCCAAGTCTGCCACCAGTCTGGATAAAGAATTTTGATCAAGAGTCTTTGTCAAGAATTGTCCAATTCTTTACAAAGTGCTTCTCCAAGTATCTTGACAAAGAATCTTGTCCAATTCCATTGCTACTAGGGTATTAGGCTAATACCTACCTATTTACTATTAATAAAAATTTGACCTCTTTTTTTTTAAACAAGCCACGTATTCGGACGGGTAATTTTATGGGGATTTTCATGTTAAAGTGGGGGTAAAACCGGGTATTCTGTCATAGTGGCGTGGGTAATTGATAATTTCAGTGCGGCAACGCTGTTGGTAGGTATCATTAAACTTTGGCTATAACAAGATCCGAGTAGATATGTCATTGCCATGTCCTAATACAAAATAATGCAATAAATGTATTTTTTGTGTATAAAGGTCATAATTTCTAAAGAAAACAAAGGTATTAAGGTCTTTCTAAAGAACACAAAGGTCTTAATTTCCATAGAACACAAACAGAAAATTAACATTAAATATATCTATCAGTCAAGTGGAGGGACTTTGATGTGTGGACCCACGCGTATTTTCCATGCGTTCAAAGGCCCCCAATTCCAAATGCCTCCTCTTGAACAAAAAATGTCAGTGTTATTTTTATTAGATCACATGAACATCAAAATTAAAGAGCTACTAAAGGAAGTAACAACAAATACCTGACAAACAACTAAGCTGGAAGCACAAATTAACTCCAACTCTACCTCTTAAACAAACACTATTGGTTTATGATTCATATATATATATATATATATATATATATATTAGGGTGGCCCAAAAAAATAAGAATATTTTTTTTCTCTTGTCTCTTGTGAAAATATGTTGGTTTGTCATGTTTTAAGAGCCCTGTCAACAGATCAGCTCCATTAAAAATTTTTTAGGGGTCGCTCAAGATTTTTATTATTTTCTACCAAAAAAATAATATCGAGACAAGAAAGAAAATTAAAATAAAACAAAAATTCAATTTTTGACGATTTTGAAAATTTTAAAAAATCTTAAGCGACCCCTAAAAATTTTTTAATCGAGCTGATATTTTGACAGGGCTCTTACAGCATGATAAACTAACATATTTTTACAAGAGACGAGAAAAAAAAAGATATTCTTTTTTTTTTGGGCCACCCTAATATATAAGGCAAGGCTGACACCTTTTTGGGCGACTGCGAATGAAACATCTAAAAAATCTTAAAGATTATTTACAGAAAGGATAAATATACACCTACAGAACAACTAAGAATTACCCACCAACTAAGAATTGAAGAATTGATACAATTAGAAACGTACAAATTAGTTCACAAGATCGTAATGAAGGAGATACAGGATAAGGAGGTATCATATAAAAAAAAAATCACACATGATCACAACACTAAAGGACGAGAACAATTAGACATAGAAAGAGCCTACACAAAATATGGAGAAATGAAAATAAAATATCAAGGGTACAGACTATACAACAAACTTCCAGTGAATATTAAAAACCTAACCCAGATATTTGGGATCTATTTATTAAAAAAAAAATAGACTGTGAGACTTTTCGGTATTTGCCCCCCCTAGCCCGGGGTTTAGGTTTTTTCCTTAATTATATCCCACAAAGCCTACAGTGGCTGGTTATGTGCAAGGTTGAGGCCCACAAGTTCATGGTTTCCATGATTGTTACTAGAAGCTCTTGGACTACTTGGGTTTATAGCCCGGGAGGTAGCAACATATTTTTTGCGTTAATAAATACAAAGATAGATTTTTTTCCATAATAGTTTAAGCTGTATCAATGATGAAAGTGCAAGTCTACCAAACTTTTAGTGGTGCAAACATGAAAAAAAAATTAAACAACAATTCTACTATCAGTGACAGATTCCGAAGTTAGGAATCCTAACCTTAGTTATACTGAAAGTGACAGATAGCTAACCTCATCTCTACTAAAAGTGACACATACCTAACCTCAATTTTACTAAAGGTTTTAGATTCCTTACCTCAAATCTACTTTATTCAGCAATACAATAGTTAAATTCACCTTAATTACAAAAATGAAACAATCAACAATAATTAAGTAACACAAAATTTATCATTGCGATATTTTTTTAATGAAGGTAAATTCAAACCTGAATTCAAACATGTTAAATTTTTTTCTCATGTTTGCACCACTTAAATTTTTGTAGACTTCCACTTTCATCCTTAATACTGTATAAACTATTATGGGAAAAAAATCTTGCTTAATATGAATTATTTTTCCAAAAGTGTCCCTACCTCCCTATTAGATAAGTAAAAATGTGGGAAATGTAGTCACAAACCTAAACATTGGGCTAATATTTGTTTAACAAATAAGTATTTTAATATATTTTGTATGTGCATTTTGAAATACTTACTTGACCCGACAATCGTTTCTATCTTCGTTATTATTATTTCCTTTACTATTTTTTGGTTCAAGAGAACTTTGTACTTTTTCAAAGGAAATTAGAGTGTCTAGAAGTGATTGGTTTTCCTTTTCTACATCCTTAGGGTCTATAAGGTACATACTGTCGTTGGTGACAAAGTCATCGAGTAAATATACTTTGTCCTCTTCCATGGTATTATTTACTGAAAAAAAACAAAGGTAAATTTTCTCCTAATGTACAATGTAGTAACTTTTAATGGGTAAACATTGTACCTTCTTAAAAAAATACATCGTGTTAACAATAATATTGTGTTTACAAAAATTAAGTTAACCCAAATAACATATGTTAACCTCAAAATTTACGGTACACATAAAAACATTAAACTCTGAAAATAATAAAATACAAGATTACCATTTATACAATGTAGTATCTATACTCATATCAACTTAAACAATTGTAGATCACATAATTTGAAACAAAATTTGTGTCACAAATTAAAGAAAATATTCTTCAAAACAAAAAACATGAAAATTTGACCCTAACCTGTTGCAAGATTGTGCACTTTGTTGCCAAATCCTGGATTATCCACTACTAGAAAAAATTTAAAAAAACTTGAGAAACTGTTTTTTAAAAGTTGGCACAGTATAATAAATAAATGTAAAACAAAGTTTTTTATCTTTATGCCGGATTATTATCTAATCATAATACATTTAAACGTTGTGTACAGCGGTGTCAGATTGTGTGTAGTAAGTAAAACCAGCGATATCTCTGGTAAAAATAAAACAATCCTACTTACAAAACTAGGATTCCAATACTATTAGAAATAATTCTATTATTTATATGGCTACTACTAAGAGAACAATTTCGTGTATATTGGATTGCCTAACTTATGTTTTAAACTTATTTTAAAATGTTTTTCTTTTTTAACTTTTTTAATTTTTGAAAACAATTGTTGTTTTTTTTCTATATACGGCCGATATAGGATGGAAAGCCTCATATACAGGGTGTTTCATTTTTATTAAAAGAAATTACACATTTGCGCAATTTTTGAGTATACCTATTCATTTTTGTCGACCTGTCTACACGGCTAAAATTAATTAACACATATTAAAAATAATTATTATTAATAATAATGATTGTCATCTAACCCTCTGCAAGTTACAGTATACAAATGAGAAAAACATATTCTTATAAGAATCTTAGGCTTAAATATCCCAATTAGCAAATATAGTTCCCAGTCATTTTTAAATGTCACTGCCCCTAAAGTATAGTTCCTAGACCCACCCTGCCACTTAAAATGTTACTCTATAAGGTATAGTCACTTTGAAGTATATTTCGATAGTGACTGGTTAGTGCCTACCTACCGTAAAAGTGGAAAATAAACACCCTGATTGCAAGTGGCAAACATGTAATTTAAAGAAGTGGCTGGAACTACCCGATTTTTCGAATATGACACAATAAAAGACCAAAAACTTTATAGTAACTTTTTAAAGTATCAGTCACTAACAAGCTTGGTAGCACTAGTGCTACCATAATGCCTCCATTAAGTTTTTGTTACTTTATAGTAACAATTTAAGTTACGGGGTAGTCGCGGCCACGACACCTGGTTTCTTATAATTTATAGTAGCATTGAAAGTAGCAAAATGGTTACTGCTACCTTCCTAGGTCACTATAAAGTAGCCGGCGTTTATCCATTGCCACTAAAAAGTCGCGGGGATCAAAAATGGCTACTTTATAGTGACCATAACTTAATATACCCTAATAAATGTAATTGCCTCAGATTGCATATTGCATAGTGTGCTGCTGTTTTGGTGTTTTCTTTTACTTGCTTTTAAGCTTTATTAAAATTCTGTAAAATGCCTAAGGTAAATAAAAAGAAATTAAGATATTCTAGTACTTTCTATCAAAAATTAAACAAAAGGAATCACTGCGAGCTGAAGCATCAACGTCAAAAACAAAAACTACATCTTTCTATAATCCTACTGATGAACATCATAAATCAGGTAGTGACTGTGGCAATTTTAAAGCTGTTTCTGTAGATGAGTGTAATGTTAGTGCGTCTGAAACTGAATCTCAGAGGAGAACTAAAATATTGGCCGGATTCAAGTTTAATGGACCTGAATATGGTTCTATTTAACTATGATTTCGCGAAAGAATCGAACGATTTTGGGGTATTTTTTTATAACACATCTCAGATTTTTTTTATATTTTAATATTGTGTTTATACATCTAATTCCACCCTAAATCTAAAATTTTTCTTTTATCTGACCTAAACTTTGGCTCCCAGAGACCATTTAATTTTACCTTTTGCAAAAAGCCATCTAATTCCACCCTAAATCTAAAATTTTTCTTTTATCTGACCTAAACTTTGGCTCCCAGAGACCATTTAATTTTACCTTTTGCAAAAAGCCATAATTTCATTATATTAGCATAATTTTTTTATTAAAATACTGAATGTTTTGAGATGTGGTCTATAAATGACCCTTATTAGTACCTACAGTTCTACCAAAAAAAAATTAAATTTTTTACATATAGGTGGCGCTGCAATTTTTTCTTCTTCAAAAATAGACGTTTTTTGAGGACCAAAAACTCTCTTAAGCAACAATGCTCAAAAAAACTAAATAGTATACCAGATAATATACATATTCCTTTATAATTTGATATATAAAAATTTACTTGCAAATGATGTTGCCGCCCGTAAAGCCAACTTAAAGTTTTGTTTACCGCATTAAAAAAAATTGAATTACACTTACAACTTTATTCTTATTTATTAACTAAGGAATTCCAGGAGATTACTTTTATTGGTAACAATAACACAGCAAAAAAAAGTTTTATTTTTTCACACCCAGGGGGCGCTGCAGCCTTTTTTCTTTAAAAACTATATACGTATTCCTTTATTATTTAACATATAACAATTTATCTGCAAGATTTGCATATATTAAATAATAAAGATATATCCTAATAATTATTATAATAATAATAATTATTACCTTTACATTAAATTTTAAACTTGTTGGGCTCTAAGGGGTATATTTGCTAACTTTTTAGTTATAAATAACCCTGGTTTATATCCTACTGGCTGGTTCAAATCTCTAGAGCGATTCTCAGAATCAGTCTAGAGATTTTAACCAGGGTTATTTATAACTTAAAAGTTACTTAGGCCGCAAAGGAACTACACACAACGAAAAACGTACGTAATATTAATAAAAAAAAACATTAAGGCAATGTTTTTTTACATTAATTTTGCTCCGATGCTCAAAATCATTACCATAATGCTTTTAAAGTATTACTCAATGTACAAGAACGTAATATTAATGCTTGGCGGACATTGATTTTAATCAGGAAGATCTCAAATAAAAGTACTGATATTAATGACCATTGACATGGATTAATGTCCTAGTACATTAATTCTATGCCCAGTAAACATCAACCAATTAATAAATTTTTATCAATTAACAATTAAAGAACATTATCCCAATCACCTAATATACATTAATTAATGATCTGTTAGCATTATCATAATGCAAAGAAGCATTAATAGTAGGCCTGAAATAAGGGATGGAAAAATTTCGATATATATATATATACGGGGTATCTCAAAAGTCAAGGACAGCAGAAAAGGGATGGATAGAGGATGGAATTTTAAGTCGATTGAAAAACGGCAAAGACCATTCGACTTAGAATCCCATCCTCTATCCACCCCTTTTCTGCTGTCCTTAACTTTTGAGATACCCTGTATATGTATATGTATATATATATTAGGGTGTGCCAAAAAAACTCGATATTTTTTTTTTTTTGCTCTCCACCCAAAATATCGTAGAATATGTCCAAACAAATATTCTGTTAAAAGCAGAGCTCATAATTTCAATTTTAAGAGGTCCCTCATCGAATCTGAAGTTTTGCCGCTTAAATAGCACAGAAAACTGTCTTTTTTACCTTATTTATTCTTGCAACCTAGGAAGAAATTTTTTTTTCATAAAATCCATGACCAAATCTTACAAAGCATTAAATTTGGACGAAAAAATCTTATTAAGCCGAATTTTTATTTTCATTATTTGATTTTTTACAGAGCTTTAAATTTAAAATTTTACGTTTTTTGCCTTTTTCAGCTAAACTATTGAAGTTAGACGAAAAAGTTAAATGGCAATTTTTTAGCTTGTCTGATGGACTACAAAAAAGTTTTAGGCGAATTTTTTGTATCGTCAATATTCTAAAAGTTACAGGCGTATAAAGTCATCATTTTTGTATTATTAACTTTAAATTTAAAGCTCTGGAAAAAATCAAATAATGAAAATAGAAATTCGGCTTAATAAGATTTTTTTGTCCAAATTTAATGCTTTGTAAGAATTAGTCATGGATTTTATGAAAAAAAAATTCTTCCTAGGTTGCAAGAATAAATAAGGTAAAAAAGTCAGTTTTCTGTGTTATTTAAGCGGCAAAACTTCAGATTCGATGAGGGACCTCTTAAAATTGAAATTATTAGCTCCGCTTTTAACAGAATATTTGTTTGGACATATTCTACGATATTTTGGGTGGAGAGCAAGAAAAAAAATATATCGAGTTTTTTTGGCAGACCCTAATATATATATATAAATTATTACACTTACCTTAAGTTTTAACATTAAATCAATTTTTTTGTTGATCAGTTAACAAAAAGATCTAGAAATATGTAAAAAAAAAGTTTAATAATTATTACTATTAATATTACTTATGTGGTGATGTTCTCTTTAGCCCGTTCCCTTTACAGAAATTTCCAAACATTTTCTACAGGGTTTATGTCCGGGCCACCGCAAAACTGGAACTGGAACTTTACATATTTTTAGTCCTTTTTGTAAATATTATGAAACTAAAGATTAATATTAAAAAATAATAAAAACCCTTGGTAATTTAAAATCCTTATATTTATTAGAAAAAAATTATGAAACACACTGAAAGAAATTTGTTGCTAAAAGTAAATACAAATTTATACTAAAAATTTTATACTAGTGCTTTACACATTTATACTACTGTTTATTATGAATGTATGGTAAATTTTGTAATACATTTATTGTAAAGAAGATATGTTAGATCTAAATAAAAATAAACTTACCCTTACTATAAAATGTAAACTATAAGTGAATTACAGCAAAAAAATATTGCTAGAAACACCATTTATATTGCTAGGGCAGCAATAGGCTGCTAACCAAACGAATATATTTGTTTTAGCAATGTATGTGGTAGTCTATATATGAAACATAAAATATATTTGCCCTAATTATTTTTTTATTTAACTTTAGTATATATTTCTTTCAGTGCATAAATAAACCTTAACTTTTTAACATTGTCTTACTTACATTCTAATTTATATTTCATATAATAATAAACCTAAACGCACAACAATCGGGATGGGCGGGCAAGCACGTCGCAACAGGATTAACAGGAATACTAAACTGTTGTTAAATTGTTTTCTTCTTGCACTTTTAGGTGGTGGGAAACAACAGGGCCTAATATTAATGTATTTAGACATTGGCTCAACGTATTTGGCGATAAAGTTATGATTTGTTGTATTATTTAATATGTTAGGGCATTATATTTTGCTAAGGGTACATAAGTTGATGTATATATAGGCATTAATGTAATAATTTTAGATTATTAAATTATACCATTTAGAGTATTACTCTATTAAGCCTTGACATTAATTTTATTACTGAGCAATGATTAACTAATGTACTCTAGGT